TGATGACAAGTTTCAAACTGAGGGCTGCAGGGCAAGTAGTACAGGCCAGCTTGGCATCTGGTGTGTTGGGGGTGGTGGCAGGTTCTACGGCCTGAGCCTCCTTCCCTGCAGCGACCCTCAACCCTCGGGCCTATGCTCTCATCACGAAGCCTCACCTGGACAGACTCGGCCAAGGGCTCCCAGCTGCACTGCTGGTGTAATCGATGGGCTTCACAGAGCGTTTGATGTCCAAGACCCCTCTGTCACCAGCTGCCCCGTGAGCAAGGGGGAGCCACCTGTGATCTGGCTTCTGAGCAGTGAGTTTCTCCAAAGGAGAGGATGTTTGTCTCCCTGTTACTCCTCTGATCGATGCAGCTGTTGCCCAGCCTCGTTGCGTTAAGCTAAATATTATGTTTTTGTAACGTTTTGATCCTCATTAATTATAGCTCAGGAAGGCTGACAAAGACAACCTGCCTCTTTAATATAAACAAGATTAATTGCACGGTTCCTGAAGAAAACGGACTACCAGCAGTTTAACAAAAAATGTTTGTCTTTAAGCAACTCTTGGATAAAAAAAAGTAAAACTGTTACAGGAAGTACCAAAGCTGCCAAATTACCATGCCCGCAAGCCTCACCCTCATTATCAGACTAAATGAGCGCACACCCCCAGCCTTTCATCCTGTTCCAGCCAGGAAAAGAAAGGGGATGGAGAGAAGGGCCTCATTCAGAGCAGCGACTCTGAAGTGTGGAATGTGCCCACTGTTTGAAGACGAGATTTATACCTGACACCTTTCCTGAAGCTCACTGTTGGGACTCGCCTGTTTCCAAATCAACCGCAGACCGGCTGCTGGCTGTGGTGCTGCACCTAACAACCGCATAATCCAGGATGAATGCGGAGCTGCTGTGTCACTTTCATTAGCAGCCACACAGGACCCTTCCCTTGTCTGAGCGCTGGAGGGGTGTGTGCCCTCAGTGGCTGAGGTCAGGGCTCAGAGCTGCTTAGGCAAGGTTGGGTGGAGGGCAGAAGGCGGGGCAGAGGGTGAGGCAGGGGCAGAGCACAAAGGGCAGGGTAGGGAAAGAGGGCAGAGGCAGAGATCAAAGGGCAGGGGCAGCTAGAGGCCCTGGGGACAGCTCGGTAGGAGAGGCTGAATTTTGCTTTTGGGTCACTGGGGTTGATTTGTGCAGTTCCATTGTCAGCATGGTTGAGGAGCCTGGGCCCAAAAGCAAGGTTCTGGTTGTGTATAGTCTGGGCCTTCAGACACGTCAAAGGCCCAGCAGAGACAAGTGCTGTCCAGGCTGTGCAGGCCACAGTCCATGGGGCATCTGGGTGCTGCCGTCACATTGTGTGAAGCCACCATCCCAGCAAGCCGTGGCTGATGTGGCAGGAATCAGAACCACTGAGAAAGGATGGGCGCTGTGCTTGTTTCAAAGGTCGAGTTCTGAAGCTCTTGAGCTTCCATACGTCCTGCAATGAGCCTTGGTGGCAGAGTCCCGGCCAGGTATGCAGGGTGCAGGCAGCTGACCCTGGGACCAAAACTGGCTAGGCCTACCTGGGGACTGGAGGGGGCGCTGTGTCTGGGACCCAGGGACCTGTTTAGCTCAGTGGGTGAGTGGTTGGACCATGTGGGAGCTGCATCTTCCCTGAGAGTGAGGCCCCCACAGAGAGAACCAGGTCCTCAGCATCTGTGAAGCAGGCGATGCCCTGGGAAAGCACCAGGAAGAAACCCAAGTGCAGAGCCTCAGTGTGAATGTCAGTGGGACCTAAAAGGGAAGGGAGCCATGGTGTTAGGCTCCTAGGCAGAAAGAACATGCACCTACCCAATCCAGGGTCCTCTCTGGACAAAAAGCTGTCTCTATAATTGGCATTCCTATGTGTTCATGGCCACAGAGTGATTGAGGCGTGGCCATGTCCAGCACACCCCTGGGCCTAGGGCAGGCCAACATCTGGCTGGGCTACCTCCTGGGACAGTTGGGGGCTCAACCTGGACAGATGTGGCCGGGTACCCAGCACCCTGAGGTGGTGCCATCTGAGAAAGGAGCTGTGTCCTCAGAGACTCTAACTGCCCTATGGTCCCCCCACAGAAACTGAGCCTTTGAAAGTGCTGACTCCCCCCACCCTCCACATCACATATCTAGGGAAACCAGAGGCCAACAAGCCAGGACTTCCCTCCCTCACAACACGGTCTTCCTGTTTCACACAGAGAGGCCCTCTCCTGGCCTACTGTCTTGATGTCACAAGCATCAAGGAAGGCCATGGGGGAGGGCCTGGAATGGGGCCAGCACAGGACTGCAGCCCTGTGCTAGCTGCTAGTGAGTACCAAGACGAGAGCTAGGGATCCCGGCACTCCCAGGTCCTCTGGGCCATCACCAACCTGTGGAACCAACTGGGCATTTGTAGGCCCCAATTCATGCTCCTCCCAGGGGCCTAGAGTATTAGTAGATAATTGCTATGGTCATAGTTTGGTTATTAGCTGACCATGGGGTTCCTCCAGAATACCAGACCAGGCCACACAGCAGGAGAAAATAGGCTCTGGAGGGGCCCGCCTGCTTATGCCTGGCCAACGGAGAGAGGTGGATGGCACCCTCACTTGGCTCTGTCATCAATGCTCTTCCACACTTTTCTGATGATAAAAGCAGTATCTACTAATACCATGATAGCATGTGTCTGAAAAAGCAGAGGCAGATGTGAGCAGCCACTCTGTCATGAAAGGACAGAGAAACAGATTCAGGGATGGGAACACCACTGCCACACCCCTGCAGCTCAGCTCAGTGGTCTCCATCCACCAGCTGAATCCTCAGGGAGCCTGTCTCACTGCTGCTGGCCCCTCTTGAGCACCTTGTGCACCCCAGACAGAGGTTGATTCAAGGGAACCTACCTGAAACAGTGGGGCCTTTGTCCTCATCCTGGATGCCAGGCCCCTTTATGGTCGAGATGTGATTGGGGAATGGAGGGGACATGGAGAGGGACACAACCCTCCATGCCTCTGTCAGTGCCATCACTTAGCTGGAGTTTAGTGAGCTCACATTGCCTTTGCCCTCTGCTCAGGGAGATCCTGCAGAGCACAGAGCTGTGTCCCGTGAACAGTCTCTGAAAAGCCTCTTCTGCAGCTCTGTGGTCAGCATGCTGGAGAGGGCCTGGTCCTCCCTGGTGGTGAGCAGTGGAGTGGTGACAGGACAGGCCCTAGCTCCTGAGGCCATGGAGCCTGGGTCTCACTGTCCTCTGGGAGCAGCACACATCGCGTCCCGGCAGTGTGGCTGGGACCACACTCAGATGCTTCCTAAGAAAACTAACTGTGTTCTGGAAGCACAAGTTGCTACAGTTGCAGGACACTCACTTGAGAGGTGTCTCCCTGAAACCTCTCAGAGAACAAGGGCTGAGAAAAATCCCTGGGAGATCTTCCCAGGGTGGAGGTCAGGTGAACCTGCAGACATCTGATGAGAATGTAGGGTCATTTAGGAGTCCACACCTGCTTTCTCTGTGACTTTTCAACATTGTGACAGCTCATCGAGTATTGCATTAAATTGCAGTGTTTGGTAGAGCACACAGACATTTTAACAAAAGCCTGTTCTTATAAAAGTCTCATGAATGGGAGGCTGCAGATGCAGAGGATGGACCCCATGGTGCAGCGCTGGTCTAGCACAGACCAGACGAGTCCACACCAGCTGAGAAGGAAGGAGCCAAAGATCGAAGAAGCTGGGTCTTGTGTCTGAGTTCACACCAGTGATAGGAGAAAAAGGCCAGGCTGGTGCCTACCTGCACACCTTGCCAAGTCTGGCAGAGGGAGGTTGAATGAGAGCTGGAATTGAATGGCTGCCAGTCAAGGGAGGCATCCTAAAGTCATAATAGGGCAATGAGAATCCACCCAGGGAAGGCCAAGAAAGGGCTTGCACTCCACAGGCTCTGCACTGTACAGTAGTGATTACCATAACAACAAAAATAGGGAGAACAAAATTCAGGCCCTAGCCCAGCCTGGCCCAACCCAGTCCAGCTCCAGCTAGTATCAGTGGCCTCTCTGATGGGTTCCTCATTCAGGCCCCGGCATATCCAGGACAAGGCTCTCTATCTGTAAATGTCAAGCATGCAAACAGAGACACTCTCTCCCCTTGAGGATTTTAATGAATCTAAATTACATGAGGGGATAGCTGGTGGCCACCACAGTGGGCAGCACAGAGGTCTTTCAGATTGCTCCTGCCTCACCAATATTCTAATTAAAACCAACCAGATTGTCTAGATGGGTTATGCTCTGCATTTTCCTCTGGAGAAACTGAGGCCCAAGAGACCCAAGAAGTTCCTGAGCCCTGAGGCTGGATCTGCATGGATCCATGGTTGCCTGACACCCCTGCTCAGAGCAGTCACTCTGGAACTCGGAGGCAAGGATGGAATCAAGGCTTCACATAGGGAACAGGAAGTAGGCGCTGTGGGAGAAGAATGTCTACATACACAATGGGAAAGAGATGCCTCTGAGAACCAGAGTTCCGTGAATAGTGTAGTTCCCTGCAAAAGGCGAGCAGAGGCACGGGGAGCCCAGGCTACCCAGGCCCCAGCACTAGGAGGTCATCTTCTGAGATGTGGGGCTGCTTGCCAGTGCACACCCCAGTGGAGCCCTGTTCACACTTCCAGCCATGCATCCTTCCTTTTGACTTAGTGGAATCCCATGCAGTTCAGCTCAACTGTGGGAAAATTCAGAGTAACCCCGACAGAAGCTGTATCTTCAGTAACATAATCTGCCTATCTAAGATGCTTACTCTTTAAGTAATATCCCCCCATTTTTAACTGGTGCCACATCAGGAAATGAGTTATGTGTGTATGTGTGTGTGTGTGTGTGTGTGTACGCACGTGCGCACATGTGGTATTTTTCCTGAGCCCTAAAGCTTATGATTGTATCTTTGAAGGACAACAAATAGTCACTTTTCTCCAGCACAGAGCTCCTGGCAAAAGAAAGGTTCCCCAGGAGGTCCCAGAAGGTCCCACCAGAAGCCTTCCCTCCAGGGCTGTGGCCTCGGGTGGATTCTCCTCTCACCTCTGGACACTGAGTGCCTCTCCTTCCCATCTGCTGCTTGCGTGGTTAGAGCCCTGGTTTCGCATGTTTTGGGGAAGGTGGTGGTGGGCTGGGGAGGTGTGGCTGCTCCGTGCCTGGCAGGGAGGAGAGGGAGGCCAGATTTACCACATCACAGGGGAAGCAGGATGGGGCCCTGAACATGAAAGGATTCACTCTCTCCCCACCATTTCCTATGTCCCCCTTTCCCGCAGGGAAAGATGGATTTCTGAAAACTGGAAAAACCAGCTACTATCAGCCTCAAATCGGTGCTAATTAAATTCAGTTATAAAATCCAAGTCCAATTCTCTTATCTGTGAGTGACACCTTCCCCTTCTAACCGGGGCTCTTAACAGGCACTATAAAAACATCTGACATCACCATTTCTTTGGATCTAATACAGTTTAAGGCTCTGAACTCCTGATAAGAAAGCTATTAACACATCAAGGAGTTTTGATCAGGCTAACTTTGAAGCAATCCTCTAATCTTTACCACCTTCCCCACCCCTGCCATCTCCTATATTAAACTGCAAGAATTAAAAGATGTATTTGCACATCCCTTTATTGGCTAGTCGAGCTCTGCCTTTGCTGTTTCCATGATTGATACAGATGGTCCTCAGCTGACGATGGTTCAGACACTGAGTTTGGACTGACAGTGGTACAGAAGGGCTGGGCATCAAGGAAGAGAACACTGTGTTATGTTCTGGGCTGGCACCATGTGGCCTGTGCTCTCCCAGATCTGTGGTCATTGGGATTCAGTGGGCACCCACTATGCCCTGTGCAGCACAGCTGTGTGCTGCGCAGCTTGTATGGATTCATAGCTTCCCACTTACAATGGTTTCAATTCCCTATGTAACCCTGCTGTAACCCAGGAGCATCTGCAAGTTTTAACCAAATAATCTTAATCTTTGTAGTTAGCGCATGGGTTTTAGGTGAAGGATTTTGCACCCACTAAGACTGGCAGAAAGCTACTCCAAAGCTTTAAGAGTACAGTGGCGCTGGAGGCTCACCATGGGCAGAACACTTGGGGTGTTTTCTAGCGCCTAGGAACCTCATAGGTGATGTCTCATTAGGCCCCGGTGTAGGTAATGGGATCAGAGCAGGGGTGTGTTCTTGTCCCATACCTAGGGGAAACCTAAAGGAGGTGTCATCTCTAATTGTCCAACTAGCAAGGGACCCTACCAAGCTCTAGAACACAATCTCCTACCACATTTGCCATGGGATTGCTGAGATGAGTTTGGTTGTGGGGCTCTGTCTGTGGGAAAAGGCCCTTCTGAGCTTGAGGACAGGGTCTCCATGGCAGAAGGCCAGGAACCAGCAGGAGGCAGGTATGGGATGAAAGACTTCTTCTCAGTCCTGAGGTGCTGGGCACCTGAGGACCTCTGTCCTCTGATCTGAGGAATTGGACACCTGTGAACGTCTGTCCCTGGACCTGGGGGACTGGATGTCCATGGACTACTGCCTTCTGACATGGGACACAGCCAGGACACTGTAGGACATGGCTTCATAGGACAAAGAAGTTCACAAACATGGTAATCTGAACAAAGGGTTGCAGAATGGACATGCTGTTACCAGAATTGCCCCTGAAGATGCCAATTTTGTGCTTTTGTGAACAAGTCCCTATAAAAATCAGCTGTGGGTTTGTATTTGAGTTTGAAAAACAGAAAAAGCCAAAATGATGACTATGATAGCTGGACTTTCCTTTGACTTTGACTGTCCCTGTTGTCCCCAAAGCTGCAGGTCAGAGAAGGAACCAGGCTGAGACCACAACTCTGAGCTCAGGACTCGACCATAAGGCTTCACCCCATTTGTCATGAGAGACACTCATCATGGTCCTAGGCACCACATGGGACTTGCTGCCCAGAGGGCTGAAGAGGGCTGCTGGGCCTGGAGCGCATGCTTTGGAGAAAGTGAGGTGAGTTGGATCCTATCCTCAAGTCGGCTTCACAGCGCAGCTAACCTTTCCGCTCAAGGGTTCTGGAAACAAAGTGCTGGGTGAAACTAGTAGGCAGGTTTCTATTTGTTTGAGGGATTCATGGTGGATATTTTTAAAAGGAAAGTAAGACCCCAGCAAGGTAAGCATCTCTTCATGAGACAATGTTATTGAGAGCAGGGACTTCACAGAGACAAAATGTGGAAACCCTGGGGATTAGCGAGTCTAAGACCTGTCAAATCCAGCTTGGCAGAGACAGAGCCTGGCCCAGCCCAGCAGAGAGAGCTGCTCGAGCCCAGGGAAGATAAGGTATAGGGGCATTATGGGGGGAGGGGTGGCCCACCTGCTTCTCGGAGCCTGAATTTAATTAGATTCCATGGCTCTGAGGTGCAGTGAACTTGAGAGGGGTCCAGTTGGCCCACTGCTCTCCCAGCCTGGTTCCCTCTTTTCCTGGCCATGTGTTCCTAACAGCACACAAATATTTCTGATCACTGAGGTAGCCTGTTAAATCTGCATGTAGCTCTGTGATCCACATTACAAACACACATAAAAGAGCCACCAGAACAGGGTTCAGACAAAACGAGAGATTCTATTCACTGGTGGTACCAGGACTCGTGATTGCTGCAGCTCTGTGGCGCTTGTGATGGGGATTTCTCCTCTGAAGCCTTCCTGAGGAGCTCACCCAGCCTTGCTGCCTGGGCTGTGGGGTACTGAACTGGATGGGCCTCTATGCACCTCAGAGGGGCCAGATGGCCTCCTCTCTGGGGCATCCTCACCTGTCTTCCTGGCCACCTAGAAGGCCTGAGAGCCACTATTGTGCACAGAACTCATCCTTTTTGCTCTGGGCAACCTGGGCTGACACTTGAGTCCAAACTCCTTGCAGTGCTGGTGAAGACACCACTTGGAAAGAAAGCTGCCTCCCTGGACCCAGGACAGCCTGAAGATCTGCTCTCTGAGTGCACTTGAGCTCCACTTGATTGCATGCAGATTATTGGCCTGAGGGCCCGCTTTCTCAGAATCACAAGTTGTCTGGCAGATTTTGTCCTTGTAGAAGAAACCACTTTGAGGATGGTTACAGACAAGTCCGTTGCTGTTGGGAACCTGAGCAGGTTTGCTGTACCAGCCCTGTTTCTAATGCTCCCTCTATGTATCTTACTTCTCTGGCTCCCTCTAAGTTCCTGGTGCAGTGTGGCCACCCGAAGCACCCTTCTTGACTTCAGGCAAAGCAACGAACCATCTCACACACAGTTCACAGGCAGGACCATCATGGTCTCAGCACCTTGGAAACTGGATCCAAACAGATGGCTACAGTGGCCTTCCCAGGCCCAGTCCCTGGCTCTGGGAAGCAAGCCCATCTCAGGGTGAGGCCTTCCTGCTGTTGGGGTGGAGAGCACAGATCTGCATGAGTCCCAAGCGCATCTTCCCTCTCACTGTGCCCTGTCTCAGGTGTGCACTCGAAGACTACTTGAAATTGCTCACATCCCTGTGGTCTCCTGTTTGCTACTGATTTGTATGACCTGGGATGGGATGAGGACGATGCCGTGGCCCAGCAAGAAGAGAGCAGCTGGGGAGCCCACACTGTGCACACTTGTCAGTGGCCGAGACGCTCAGGCTACCGCAGGACCGGGAATGTGGAGAAAGAGTGTGAGCAGACAGGGAAGGGTCTGGGAGGCAGGCAATCCATCTCACCTAACTCTGGATTCAGTATGGGAATTTTACCCTCAGCCATTTAAAGGAAAGATACTTATCAGTGCCTGTGACTGCACAGTGCAGTTCACAAATCCTGAGAGACAAAGGACACTGTGGGCCTGTGATGAGGCAGGGCATGAGGAAAGACCATGGTGGGATGGGGGTCAAGACCCAGGTCTGAGGCTGCCTGCATCCCTCTCTGCTCAGGGGCAGGATGAGGGCCCTAGTGGGGAAACCAGAAATCCAAAAAGCAGAAAGCAAACACTAAGACAGGGTCTCTGTAACTTACGGGGAAGAAGACTGCAACCGACTGTTCTTACAAGCCTGAGAAGGACTGCAGAAAGCACCTTGACTTGTGGGTGGCACCAGCAGTAGCAGGCTTGGGAGACTGACTGCAGGATGGAGCAAATGCAGATGACAAATCTCTGAGAACCACCTTTCAGCAAGACAAGCCACCTGGGACGGACCCAATGGGTCACAGCAATTCCTTGCCTAGTTCTTGTAGCTCCTTCTATGGGGACAAGGCAGACTGGGTTCAGGACCTGGGGCTGTGGTCATGGATGAAGATGGGCAGTTCAAGGCTGAGGTCATCTATGGAGGTAGACAAGGACAGGATGGGGCTGTGGTCATGGATACAGGTGGACAAGGCCATGACAGAGGCTGTGGTCATAGATGGAGGTGGACAGGATTGGGCTGTGGTCATGGATGGAGATGCACATGGACACGACAGAGGCTGTGGTCATGGATGGAGGTGGACAAGTACACAACAGGGGTGATGGTCATGGATGGAGGTGGACAAGGACACAACAGGGATGATGGTCATGATGGAGGTGGACAGGTTGGGGCTGTGGTCATGGATGGAAGTGGACAAGGACACAACAGGGGCTGTGGTCATGGATAAAGATGGACAGGTTGGGGCTATGGTCATGGATGGAGGTGGACAAGAGCAAGACAGGGGCTGTGGTTATGGATGGAGGTAGACAGGGACAGGTCAGGGCTGTGGTTATGGCAGAAGTGGACAGGCTGGAGGCAGATATGACCCTGCCCTCTGCCCCACTAGAGGTTTGGTGCTTCCTCTTCCCTCCCTACTTGGACTCCAACGAGGTGGAGCAGTCTCTACTTCTGCAGCACATAGAGGCTCATTTTATACAGGGTGACATGGAAGCAGCCAGCATCACCAAGGAATCTATTTGAAAGGCAGCAGATCAGCTTCTCACACTGACCCTGGCTGCATTGCCCACAGTGCTGGGCAACATGAGTTATGGCTTGGGCTCCACTCAGGAGCCACTGAAGCAGGCTACGAGCCAGCAGGCATGTATATCTAGTGGCTCCCAGGGAGCAGAGATAACTGAGTAGGTAATTAGTACAGAGATGCCGGGACAGAGCTGAGGCTGAGGGAGGCTTTGCAGATTCTATCCACGTGCTTAGTTTACAGAAACAAATGAGGCTGGAAATTTGAAGTGATTTTTCAAAGGCC